TAATAATAATAATAATAATAATAATAATAATAATAATAATAATAATAATAATAATAATAATAACATAACAGTGCTAGATTCCAATGATCAACAAAACATGACTTCGTTCAAGCGTTAAATATTTTGATCATCGCTACCATAAATTTGAAAACATCCATGAGGCACGACTTCATGAACACAAAATTTTTCAGTCCTTCAACGAGATCAATTTAGAAAAACGGAGAAATAGAACAAATAAGTGCAGTGTAAGAACTAATACTTGTATATCCTCATAAAGTAATATAATTTCATCAATCAATCAAAAATGACCGTTTTCATCGTATAATTCATGCATTAATTTGATTCACTTTAGCAGATGATAATGATAATACAACTCGACCTGAATCTTATCCAGCAGTAATTATAAAGAGGACGTGATCGAAACAGTAACGGAAGGTACAGTCGTAGCACAGTCAGACTTTTTACGAACCACTAAACAAATTGGTTCTTCATTATCATGATCAATCTCATTGGTATCGTTATCAATTTCCATATCGAAATCGCCATTATTATTATTAACTTCGTCATGGGTAGAAGACATTTCGTCATGGGTTGTTGTGTTACAAGAATTAATATTAGGCCTGCTCGTAGTGAAATCACACCAATTATTTGCTACGTCACTTGCAAATGTTGCACTAATTTTACTGTTGATATCTGCAGCTGCAGCGGCTGCTGCTGCGGTAGCTGTAGTGATAAGCCTTTGATAAGACTGCTGTTGATAAGAAGATGATGGTATTGATAAAGCGGTATTATCAGCTTGTTGGTTGTGGAAGGATGCTTTGGCTGATGAAGATAACATTTGGCCTAAATTTGCTGTTGTTGTTAAAGAGGATGAAGTAGGTGTGAAAATAGGTGACGGGTTCGTCTCATTAGCAAATCGACTAGCACCCTCTGTACGACCACATCGTGAGAATATTTCACCGCATGCCAAATCGTCAACGATCATCGAACTTGTTGCAGTTATGATTGACTGTTTTCGACTGCTACTACTGTTGCTGCTATTCAATTCATCCTGATGACCAAACAACATTTTTTTGTCGGTTGGAGAAGAATGTACTACAAGTGCAGCTTTAGCTGCAGCAGCTCGAGTTCTTTCTTCAGTTTCACCGATCGCATTACAGAATAATGAAGAAGTGCTAACTGCTGCTGTAGGGGGAGTAGCAACAGAGCCATACAAAGCATTATTCAATAAATCTATACCACCTGCAGCGCTATTAAGCATCACCGTTTCATCATTACTGTTTCCCATACCCAACGTCCTCGTATTTGATCGTTCCCTTTTACTGCTGCTATTCTTACTCATACAACTTCCAACTCCTGCTAGTGATGCTAAATTCTCTTGCATGAGTTCGTCTTCGCTGAAATTCACAACACTTATTAATATATAATCATAGTAATAGTAATAGCAATAGCAATAATAATAACAATAACAATAATAATAACATTAATAATAATTGCTATAAATAATAATGATAATAATCACTCGTATACAATTCCCAGCCAGGCACAGCCTAAAATGCGCTTAAAGCTTAAGTTTCTTAATGATTTTGTTGAACATAAAGAATGCTCATTGCAGTCGCAATGTCAACTACCAGAAACTTATCATTGCGAAAATGAGAGATTCATAGATGAAAAGATAGCAAAGAGTGCATTTTGTATGATAAGCCAGCAGTAAAGGCGAATCGTTTGCGTTCAGATAAGATTCAACGAATACGATATTCTCTCTTCGATTCCAACGCAAGCGTTAGCCAATGAGCGGCGATCAATCACAACAACGAACTTTCTTTGAATTTCACTACCACTAGCACTACAACTACGGTAATGGCCCGCATTTTTCTACCGTTTTCAAACTGCTCGCTTTGTTCTTCCGCACCTTCAAAAGAGTGCTGCTTGAACTGGAATACTGCTAAATGGAAAGTGTGCAGAGTTCAAGCGTAAGGCTGATGCGAGACATCAGCTTTGCCTTTAGACTAAAGCTCATACTGAAGTATAGGCTTAATCCAATTCGAATTTTTAACACAATTCTGTCACATCCGTCAGCAATACAAATGACTGACAATTTTATTCACAGTTAAAAATACGAACTGATCAGTTGAATGATTCAAAAATTCGAAGTGAAATTAAGGGAGACTGGATGATTTCGTCGTTTACTGAAACAGTTTTATCAAATGCGTAAAACTGAGCATAAATTCAATAGAAAGCACTGCACCTTGTTGTGTTCAAACGATGCATACGTTCATAATGGTAAAGGAGACCATCCGAGGTAACACATTTGAAATTACATTCCACACATTCCAATTTCTCTTTGAACATCTCTTTACTGTGCTTGAATAATTTATGTTGATCCAAACTGCTTGGCGTTCGTCCTCTCAAATCAATACAACAGTCAAAAAAATTGATTTCAGTTCCCTTCAAAATTCGTGGCGATAAAAATCACACAGCTGATAATACCTATCACCACAGAGTCATCAGCAATACTCACTGTGTTCCAGTCAAATTGTGCAAGTTATCCATTAGAACTTTCAATTGAAAAGTCAGTAGAATCTTCATTACATCTCATTTCAATATCTCGGTTCAACAAAGAGACCCACAAAAATGCACACCTGTAATTGCATTGATCACACTGTAAAGTGGTTTCTTGATGTTGCAAAATATGCTCGTATATTTCACGCTGCGTTTCGGCTGTCGTTGCACACTTTGGACATCGATATTGAAGTGCTCCGTCTCGACTACAATCCGGTATATGACGTCCGATATGCTTTTCGAGCATCGCTGGACTCTTCGAGACGTGTCTACAGAACGGACATTTGCGACAACCTAAGATACAGCCAATCAAAACATAACACAACCAAGCATTATTCGATATATTCGCCGCAAATCAACTTTATGATCAATTCTTATAACAACCATTGTCCATCATATGCCATAAAATTACTCAACACCATTCATCCATTATTGTTACTTATACAATCAAAAAGTACCTCTAATCAGAAATTAATTTCAATTTTACGCATAAATATACGTAAATGAATATTTCACCTAGATCAATGGATTCAGGAAGTGGTATGTGATGACGGTAGTATTTATGAAAGTGTATATATCTGGCTTCACGTGTTGTGAACTGACAACCGTTTTCGTCGCATTTGATTGGTGGATTTCGATGATAAATTGTTACGTGATACGACACGGAATTGTATCTACCGTATACTTTACGACACACCGTACACATGAATCCATTCGAGACCCGTTCGATGTATTTCTTGTTTCTGCACCAACCTATAAGCACGCGAACAAAAAATGATGACAGCTCGTTTTAAAAATCAGAGAAAAAGTAACTGGGCAATTTGAGGCAGCAGTCAAGAAGGATCAACGGAGCCAGAGACGACTGACTAGTCGTAATCAGCAACAACTGGATGAATGGATTGATGAAAATAAGTTCAAGACCAAGATACAAGGTCAAGATAGGATCACGAGATCTTTGGTTCGGTGGTTTCTGATAAGAAGTAGGAGGTAAAATCGACTGAGCGGACGGTCGCATGGACGGACCTTCTTTATCGTTTGATGGTACAATTACTTCAGAAGTTTTATCTTTTGTAGCGTTTGATGAGGATGACGATGAGCAATTTCGATTTGAAGGCGAACTTATTGTTGTTCTGGCTGTTATCGATCTGAAAACTTCGTTTTGTGGTTTTATCTCATTTGGTTTCAATTTTATCAAGGAGTTTATTTTACATTTACATATATTAATTATTAATAACAATAACAAAACTCTAACTGTCTATTTATTTGTCTACTTGTCCATACTACTAACTAAAAACTACATGTAATAACTAACTCTCTCTTTCTCTCTTTAAATCAAAAATCATCAAATAACTAAAAAAAACCCGTTTATAATCAACTAAAATCGCTTTTATTCGACTCCAATTCCAATCTATTACATATAATATTCTTTATAACAATGATAATAATGACAATATCATCATCACTTTTATCTTTCAATTAAAATAAAATACTCCAGAAAAATGTATCTGTGATAATGATGAGTTTAATATGAAAACATGATTGACCAGATACAATCCATGTAACTTCATTAACATCTTTTCAACTCTTTCTTCTTCTTCTGTTACATATTATTAGACATCAAAGAACAAAAAATTAATCTTAATTTGAATAATTATATGTACATATTTATACTCGTTTCGCTTATGTATGCATGTATGTATACGATATGTGCAACATATTCGTTTCATTTCACTAACAGTTCATATTAGGTATGTACATCACAAATCTGTATGAAATGAATCATGAAAGTTGCACAATAATCATGCATATGAAGGAATACCATATCAGAGCGACAATGATTAAAAATAAAATTTGCATGGTCATAAATGAATTGAATTAGATTTGTACTCATTTATTCATATTTTTACAGTGAGTTTCCTAGAAATCGTTGCGTGCAATGAGAGAGCGAGCAATCGCAAGACTATCGCTGTGATCGATAAAAGAATCAACGGTCGAGATGAGAATACTTCAATGATTTCGTGTACAGATAATATGTCGTTTGTTGTATGTGAAAGGAAAGGATAATATTAAATGAACAATCTATTGAGGGACAATGAGATCTCTAAGATTCTTGTTACTGTCATAATTCGTGGTGATTTACAACAGAGAAGTTTTAACTTATTTGTTACTCGTTATGAGCTGCTACCATTATTATCATAAATGAATAAGATCTTGTATTCATATTCGAATACGAATTCAACATCAACTGTGGTTTGTTCAATAAGTTATCATTTATATTTTTCATCATCAGTATCATTATTGTTAAGAATTAATGAAAAATACCTGAGGGTAACAATAGAATCTGGCGAGTCGCATCGTTCACGCATTGGACTGTTCTTGTTTTGTACCGGCGCGATTTGTGCAAATAATGATTGTTGTTGTGAGATTGTAGTTGAATGATTGTCATTATTATTGTTGTTATCATTATCAACATTAATATTATTATTACCACACACAATAATATCATTATTATTGCTGTTGCTACTATTATTATCACTATTGTTGATATCATTGAGATGATTGTGGCCTACTGATGAGAAGCCAGACGCACTCGTGCCAGCCGTTGCTTGATGTGTTAACATCAATGCTGTCGACGTGACCGGTACAGACGGTTGTATCGAAGCGGCTGTCAATAATTAATTATTATTACCATTGAAGTTTAATGAGCTGGTATTTTAATCAAGCAACACGCCAATTCGACTAACCGGTGGAAGGCAATTTGCTGATAATAATAATAATAATAATAATAATAATAATGATAATAACAATAATAATATTGACAGAAATAATATTAACAATAATAAGTAATTAGATGGTATCGAAGATGAATATATTGACTGAAAAAAGAATAAAATGAACGAACCATTTTGTTGAATTTTAAGCATTTGCATGGTAAGTAACCATTTAAATTCAACAGAAGTCGGTGGAATTGCGGTGTGCATCAATGACAGAAATGACGACTGTGCATTTTTGAGTTTATCTTCTTGAATTCGCATCAAATTCTGTGTCAGAATCGATGTGAGACGCAACTCCGCGGTCACTATTTGACACAAACGTGATACTTGTAGCACCTCAATTACCAACTAATGTTTTAAATCAATAAAATGGTTTCTGACTCAAGATTCATAACACTGTTATCAATTGACGAGTGTAAATGCAGGTAGTTTATAAAGGGTCTCGATCTTTCAATAGAACTAAAGATTATACAAGTAATTGAGCGATTACCTGAAATGGATCAACCGATTCAAGATCAAATTCTCCGCTATACAAAAAATTGAGAATAATTTTGAAGGCTTGTGCTGCATTCGGAAGTGTACCAAAATTGACTTCAATCGTTGGTATAATTGGTAGAAGACTGGTTACTGATGAGGTCGAGTTGGAGGCATGATCAACCAATCCACGCAGATACGGGGATGATGCAGATAACACTAAACGATGCGCAATGACACGCTCTTCTGGAACGGAGATTAATGTTTATTCTCAAAGAGAAGTCAGTGAACAGTGAACTAAATGAACTCGAATGCACTAATTCATTCGAATTACGAACTGAATTTATCGAAGCTAACTTGAGATGAGTACACAGAAGTGAAGAAATATCATATGATACATGCAGATATAAATGATAGATATCCAAGAGAATTTGGATATCCCGCTAATGTAAGGAAGGAAGAAAAGCGTTGAACTGTTGAAATAAAGACGGGATTGAATGATATAAGAGTTGTTTTTTGTAATGTATGGTGTGGGGATATGAGGATGATTGAGGGCAATGAAAATGTAATATCATCAAGCAGACCCCTCAGATAGGACGGAGAAAGGGAATTAGTAAAATGACTTTCAAATGAATGGCATCATCATCTCATGCGAGCAAATAAAACGACTGACCTCTCTGGATGCCAGTCAGCAGATCAGTGGAAATCAGTCGAACGCATATATCACCACTAGCATTAAGTTCTTGTGCAGTATTCGCTGACTGCTGCTGTTGTTGCTTGAGACTATTTGTTGTAGGATGTCCGTCTAAAAAGTTACCAACCCCGAGTCCCAACCTCAGCCCACCGCTTGCAATAGTCGGCGACTGCGGCGTTGTCGTACATGATGAGGACATCGACGGTGCCAGCGGCTGGGGCGCGCACTGAGGCACCGTCTGAATTCTTTCATTCACTTCGGCCATTTTTATCAAACTCTTCTCAGAAATTGCAATTGCAGTTTTACTTATTCGTTTTCGTCTTCCAAATTTTCACCTTCTTGCAAGAAATTTTGTTGATTATTATGACGATCGACTACTATTAATTATGCACGTGAATACAGTTGTAGTCGTTAATTGATCTGATCAGTAATCACACATAGATGTGTTTGATGATTGATGATAAATACGATACTGAACTAATACAGTAGAATAGTTGCGTGAAGTGAATGCACCCTTACAACAATAACAGATTCGTAGTGAATGATTCGTTCACGGGATCTGATCGTTTAATCATTGAATTTAATTCAATTCGAATCAATGCAATATAATCTGATTTCCTTCGGTTCGAGTCATTCGATGTTCTTAGAGCAACAACAACAGGAATAATAATGATAATGATAATTACCAACAAGTACAAACCACTAATTCAAGTATACTGAACTTAAGAACATGCGCTGAATATACTGACTGAAAATTATTGCATAATTACAATTGGTATTCACATCATTATTAGAATCATCATTATAACTAGTGGTAATTTGTAATAAAATGAATTGTTTATTTAATTATAAAAGTAACGAACCAAATATATACTTAGATAATATACGATAACGATCTTCATAGGAGCAAAAATAACGATATTTATTGTATATCTATGGTATACTTATAACTAAATGACATGACGTGCTCAGAAAAAAAACCGACCGATGTACCAAGCAAATAAATAAATAAACAAGTAAACAAATACAGCATACAGATCGAATTGAATGTGTGCCATCAACCAACTATATGCTTCATGTATCTATTTGAGTATGTTGCTAGAGTGTGGCTTGTACTGCTCTCCGATAATGAATGAATGAAGAAATTTAAAATTTTTGGAAGAAAAGCACCTCGAAGAACCAGTTTTGTCATATAAAACTATTAACTGGAACATACATAATTAGGCCGAGATTTTTAATCTGGAATGTTGGGTGAATTTATAGTTTATTATCATTATCAACATCATCATTACTGCTACCAGCGCTATTATTATCACTATCATTATTATCATTATTACTACCATTATTATTATTATCATTATTATTATCACCCACAAACATTTCACATTTACGATTACGTCTTTGCTTAACTTTAACTTCTAGCACATCACTTTATTCGTAACTTAGTACACTGACAAATAACAATATCAAGAAAAAAGATAAAAATAATGATAACAAAAATTACAATGATAATAAATAATAAACTGATAAATTTGAAACAATGAATTGCAATTGATAGTTCAATTTGAAACAATTTATGAATTCATTATCAAATTGTCGAAATTACATTGCAAAAAATTAGTTAATATTATAAAATATGATTAAGCGAATAAATAATAAAAACAACGATCATAATAATAATAATAATAATAATGAATACGCAGATGATAATCAAAGAGAGTGGATCAACCAGTTACCGTAATCAGTACTAAATCAATGAAAGCGAGACCGAAATAGTGATTGGTTCGTTGACGATTTTCGCTTCGATGGGCTTGACAATGAAACGTTAAAGACAGATGTGATCGAGAGAGATGCAGACGTAGAGGCAGATTATAAAAGACAATCTAAAGAGGAAAGAGACAATTTGAACGAAGAAATAGCACTAAGAAATTCGGAATGACCGTGACCCAGTAAGAAGAAACAACAAGAAACGAACGCGTTTCAGTGCTGGAACAATAATAATTATTATAAATATTTTTATCATGAGCAAATTAATTACAATGGGATTAATGCAGACAACAATTGCGACAATAAAAACAATCGTCGAAAAACAACAATGTGATTGTTTTATGTGCTATTTTTTTGAAAATACATGAAGCATTGTTGTAAAAGTACTGAGGAATAGGTGAGGGGGATACCTATCAAACCAAATATTATGCAACGTTTTCATTGTTACGGAGAGATAAAATGGAAAGAATAGTGCGGCAAAGATAAAACTGACAGAAGCATATATACGGCAAGATGCGATCAAACATAGACAAGTTCAAATATTACTAAGAATTTTTTGAGATGATTTCAAAGAATTGAAATCAATTTGGACTGCATTGAAATTATCATCAATAGGACTAAAGTGATTCTATCGCCAATTGGAATATGAGCAGCTGAATCAAAATGGTTTTAAGTTACACAGTTCATTATCAGTCACGAAATCATCCAATCAACTAGTCATTTAATCACTACAGGTTGTTACCTTCATCGTTTTTGTCTTACACAGAAACACAGTACCAATAATTCGTTCAGAAATGAAACACAACGAACGATCAAATACTCAATAGACCAAAATTTAGGGTAGCGAGAGAGGTACGAGTGCTTTTTCTCTTACATTCCCACACCGCACTGGGTTTATTCCCGAATATGGAACTAAAAGATGGACAGAATAACGCAGACGATTGTTGTAGCATATGGCAGTGAGTGAATAATGATTGTTGGCTAGTTTCATTATCATTATCACACGATCAAATAACGTCGATCAATCATCATCTAAAGTGGTCGTTTCGATTAACATCTCTTGTGGAACATTAACAAAGAACAAACATGCTTATGGAACAAAACAAGAAGAACGAAGATTTATTTTAACAATATTAATAATACAAAAACACGTTCCGTTCTTTGACTTATTATATTATGTAGGTATTCATTTACTGTTGCACGAAGAGAATTGAACAGTGAGGTATTATACTTTATTATGCATCACATATTTCTAGTTGTGACTTCTTAGATGAATAAATTTGATATTATTACAATTATTAGTATTCAATTCCTTTTGATACCATCTAATTCACTTATTTCACCTCATTAAGATATAATTTACCTATAATATGCGATTAATTTACTTTTAATTTCTTTTTCTCATAACTGTTATTATTAATTATTATTACTATTATTGTTATTATTATTGTTATTATTATTATTATTATTATTATTGTTATTATTATGATTGTCAGTGTGAGACGAACTGAACCAACTGTTTGAGATGATATACATGAAAACAATTATAATAAGATGCATATGTATATGATACAGACAAAATGACATCTAGAATCATATAAATAAATGCACACAAATACTTCAATAAACTGGTATTATTCTAAAATGACTTTCCTTTTATTTCATAAAGACGTTTGAATTTAATTTAATTTGCTCTACTTTCCTCTGAACGATTTCATTTTCGTTTCTGCTGCTACAGTCACCAAAAACGATAATTGCCATTAACTAACTCTTCAGTTATGTTATTCTTATTTAATAACGACTCATTATTGTCGTCATTATTATTGCTATTGTTGTTGTTATCATTATCATTTCTATTATTAATGTTACTCTTACTGTTACTATAACTACTGCTACTAACATTTAATGTCAACAATAATTATCAAATAGAAGATTAATAACAACGAATGAATTGTTAAGTACATCGCAACTGTTACTGTTATCATATGTATGATGTTTCGAAATGATATGAATATAAAAGTGGTAAAATAATCAAATCAAAATGTAAATTCAATGGTGGTGAATTAATTGAACAAATTAACATCAAATAAACAAGTAGAAATCAAAATTCGCAAACTGAATCGGAAAATTACCGTCAACAGGCCGGTAGTTAGACGAACTGATAAGGCGATGAAATGACAAATACTAAACGAAATGGCATTCAACAGTTATATACTAGTAAGAATATGATCACTGTAATGTGACCATTATTATCACTTATATGAAATGAGAGGATGAAACTGAATGAGTAATACAAATATTCGTATGAAGAATATTGACGGCAAGCTCACTGCATATTTAAGAAGCGATTGTGCGAAGGATTCAACCAAAAGAGTGACCTTAAACGAATACACGAGCGATTTCTAATCAACGTTCCACGATGACTGTACAATAATGTGTACGCAACTGTAGATGATCTGATTATTGTTTCAGTGAAATTTTTTCAACACTTGTTCGATGTTCGGTGTATGATCTGTGAGCACATCGAACGAGCAGCATTAACTGAGTACAATCACTCATCTTACAGGTAGGTTCCTCTTTAGAAGATATTCTTCACTTTATTGATGAACAATATGTAAATTATGAGTGACTTTACAAATGTGTTCGTTGCAAGCAGCTGAAATTGCCCATTCAAAAATTGTTTATTTGATATTATTAGTGCTAGCATTCATATTATTACAACTGATATTATTATTTATTATTATTATTATTACCGTTGTTACTAACGGCCGTAATATCCATACAAAACTGCTAAACTGCGCTGAATGAATTGTGAGCTTTGTAGCCTAACATGGACAAGCTAAAGTCTCTTAGCGTATACAATACGATGAATGCTTATCAGACGTAGGTGAGCCTCATTATATAAATATTGTTATTACTACCATTATCAACAATACTAATAACAATATAAATATAAAAAGTATAATATTAATTGTAAATGAGTGTATCTAAATATGTATCAATATGCAATTAATATTGTACTCATATTAGTATGTTTGTTTAATGAAAATATGAATATTCTATCATATACTCACTCGCATGTGAAAGCGAACATATAAATATATTGAGGAGAGTTTTTTTGTGTTCTCAAGGAACAATGTGGCAGTGAATATGAATGTGGAGGAACGATATAAATAAGGAACGATGCTCAGATGAAACTATCAATTTGCCGAAAAAAATTGTTATTTGGGATAACAACAAGGCGTCATATTGGTTTCATGTTCGCAAACCTTAGCAATAAATGAATCGAGAAGTAAATTATGAAAGTGTTCACGTACATTGAAATAACAAATACTCTTGTAATAGAAATAAAATCTCATCTTTATCATACAGGTAGATAGATAGAAAGCAACGTGATAGGTATGATCAACACAAACAAATGTGTTTAGATTTTAGATGCATATTTGATAGAAGCAAGGTACGGTGTTTTAGACGTGGCTGCTTTCGGTACACACTCTT